AATGGACCAACATTGGTGCCTTCGACCCATGGATATAGTGAGAAGACTCACCTCACACTGTCGAATCACACAGACGAACCCCGGCTGCTGCCTGACAGATCCCCGCACTGTCAATCATCAAAACAACACCTAATTAGCAAATTGGGTGCCAAAGCATAAACATAAACCCATACTTGGGGTAAAAGACTATTTTACCCATAACCTAGCTTGGTCCAAAAACAAGGCCCATACTCAAACTCTAGAGGCCCAAAAGCCAAATAATCAACCTAGGCCCAAATATGGCACAATTTTCCAAATTGGGCCCAAACCCCTTACATGGGCCTTACCCTAAATCCCATCCAAATATCCTAGTCCATCCAATTGTTCGCAGATGGCCCAACAAGAATCCAAACACCTAAGCCCAAAAGAAAGGCCCAACTCAAAGCCCAAACATGATTAGGGTTTTCACATAAAATAACGATTAGGGTTAATTAAAAACACTTAACCCATTAACGACTTAATCCATTAAGTCCATCGATTTACTAGGTCAATCATACAATATGGTCGGGCATAATTCATAATTCCAATCCAACGGTCCAAAACGCAGGACCTGACAAGTCCCAAACAAAAGTCTCCAAGATTAGGGCTTCCTTAACCCTAATTAGGGTTTCCAACCCAAACACATACCAATTAGGTCCAAGGTTAAGTTTTTTTTGGTTAATTAGGGTTTCACTAGGTCGGGCACCACCCACTGCCACCTCGGGGGGTGGTGGTCGACGGCAGTTCATGGCGGTAGCCACCACCTCACGACGGTGGTGGTGGTTTTCGAGTCAAAATCCGACTAAACAAGCTCCTACTACATCAGCCACTTAACAAATATACACCCATAAAATGATTCACTCACAAAAAGCCACCACCTCATGGCGGCTAACAGTGGTAGAAAACGGTATCAAGGCAACAACCACCATGGTCGGCTGCAATGTTGGGTTTTTCCCCGTCTTCAGCCAAGCCATTACATACACACACAACATACACAACTAGCAACAACAGCACACACGCGTAAACACGATACGAATCCATAACTCTCGACCCCAACTAGGCGGCTGATGACACCGGAGTCCACAGAAATGGCGACCGAGGCCGACAGCGGCAACAACGCCATCCACAACACCACACTCATAGAGAAGAACAAAGGAAAGGAGAGGTGGGGTTGCGGTTAGCTTACTGAGAGCTTCCAATCGCTCACGATCCACACATCGACGTCCACAACAAAACCTTTGACCTTCGGCGGTTCTCCCGGCTGTACACGATGTCACCGGCAACAGGGCTGTTGTAGTGGTGGCGGTCGAACTCGGCACTACCGGCGACGATTGAGAAAGCTCCAAAAGAATAGTGGCGGCTGGAGAAGTGAGCTAGGGTTAGGGATTGTATCGTCCAAACGAGGGGGAAGGGACACCGGGTTTATCCAGTGTTCTCTTTCAAACATAAGTGCATTTTTACAAGTTTGGCCCTCCTCCACCAAATCTTTTTCAACTTAACTCCAGTATTTACCAAACCTCCCCTGACTTCAGAAATTCTTCACAAAAATCACCTCGAAAAATTACACTTAATCTCCAAATACCAAAATTATGACATTTAACTCCCGGAACCAACACCCTGCTAAATTATTACGGATTTAGGGCTACTATAAAATAATATAAAATATAAAATTTCATCTCGGGGTTTAGGGTTTATTATTTAATTACTTAATTTCAAACGGAATGTTACAAGCCTGCTAGCGTTCCACTGGACTGTCTAGAATAGTCTGTGATCGTCATCTATACTCCAATAAATGATTGGATCATCTTAAACATCGAGGCCTCTCATCATCTATTTCATCATCTATATCATCTACCCATCTTTACCCATCATACTTATAGGTATAAAATACATATACAATTTAAAACAAATAAAACATGTATATATTTTGTTCATCCAACTTATATATCAAGAACACAGATAATATGCACACATAACACGTAATTTATATTAAATACTTTATATCTATGTGTAAGATGAAAGTAACTATGCACTCACTTGTTAAAGTGATGATTTCCAACTCGGGCAACGCTTCATTTCTAACAATTCTATTTTCCTTCAACAAAATCTAGTATCTTTATCGCTAGATTTTAGTATAATATTTATTGCGACTATTTACGAGCGATATTGTTTTATAAGTGTTAAACAATACTTTTCAACCACTATGTACAAACAGGGGCCAGACATGAAACACCGGAAGGCATGACCATTTTGGCATTATAACACTTCTGAAATCAACAACCCTATGCGACTCTTCAAACCAGATTCCCCGTACCGCGAGCAGTTAAAATATATTATAATAACACTTTGTATATTATATTTTATAGTATATATATATATATATATATATATATATATATATATATATATATATATATATATATATATATATTGTTTATAAGTTCATAATAATGATAATACACTTAAACATAAGTTATACTTAAAGTAGGGTAAGCATAACTTACTTATAAGTGAGTTTGGCTAGGAACCGGGCTCTAAGGGGGCAGAACTTCCGAGCTGAAAAACTCTTCTTCTCGGAGCCTTCTGGCGCTCCGGGACTCGCCTCTTAGCACTTGGGAAGTACTAAGGGTTGGGAAGGGTTTAGAGAGAAGTTAGAGAGAGAAAAGGGTTAAGGTGTGAGGAACTCGCATGGTATTTATAGGACCTGATCTTTAGTTACGCTGGGCGTTCCTCGGAGGTACGCTGCACTACGAGGGGGCAGGTGTCACCTCCGGATGCGAGACCGTGGTGTGCAAGCAAGGGTCCAGATTTTGTCACGTCACCCTATTCGCATCAGCCTACTTCCGACTTCTAAATTCCGTAACTTTCGCATACGAGATCCGTTTTCGACGTTCTTTATATCCACACGTAGGTGACGACGTACTCTACAACTTTCGTTTAGACTCCGTTGGCTAATTTTGATTCTATTTTTAAAGTTATATTTTAACAGGCACGGACAGGTAAAGTCCGTTAAAAATTCATAACTTTGTCATCCGATGTCCGTTTTAGTCTGTCTTTTTATTGTCGAGCTCTTATTAACGAGATCTTCGATAACTGTGTGTATTTGTTCAATGTATCTGATAACTATGATCCAACATCCTAACGCCACACAACCCAACGTTTCTACTGTCGGTCGGGGGGTGTGACACCTTAACACTCAAGAATTGTGGAATTAATATTACATCTATTACATGTGGTGAATGTAACTTAAAAGCGGAGTCAACTGACCACCTATTGTGCGTGTGCCCCTTTGGCAAAGATACTTGAGAATGGATCTTCAGATTGTGTGGTATTCCGATGCCTTTATTTGATAAGACAACTGAAATATTAGAATTTGCGACAACATGAGGGAATTGCCTAAAAAATAAAAAGGTCTTAGCGGGTATTTGATATGCAACAATTTAGTATCGGCAGAAAGCGAGGAATGATAAAACTTTTAATCAAATAAGGATTACATCAAAGGTTGTGGACATCGACCAATCAATGTTGTTCTTATGGTTCAAACATAGAAATAATAAGGATGCATATAATTGGCTAGAGTGATATTAATCCATTTATGTAAAAGTAGAAATATGGCAACCCGATATATCTATCTTGTAGTGAGGTCTTGCTTCTTTTTCTCCCCCCTTAGTGAGGTTGTGTTTTCTTCTTTTTTTATTTTCTTAATAAAAGTTTATTGGTTTAAAACAAAAAAACTTAAATATAACAAAAAGTTAAAAAAATATAGTAAATATGAACTACATACGATATTAGACATAAAATTAAGAGTAAATTATTAAAATTGTCCCTATGGTTTGGTCAAAATTGTACGTTTGATCCCTAAATTTTCTTTTGCACTCGGATCGTCCTTATGGTTTGATTTTGTTGTGTTTTTCGTCCCGTATATACATAAAGTTAGGGACCAAACGTGCAATTTTGACCAAACCATACGAATGAAAAACGTAACAAAATCAAACCACATGGACGATCCGAGTGCAAAATAAAAATTAGGGACCAAACGTATAATTTTAATCAAACTATAGGGACGATTTCAGTAATTTACTCTAAAATTAAATATTTGATTGAAAAACGATAATATCAAATATTTCAAAACGGACATAAATAAATGTATTTATTTGGAAAAAATAATTAGAAACAACCAAAAAAATTATTAAATCCAGAAAAAAGCAAATGATTTAAAATTTAAAATACTAAATGTTTTATTTTCAAAAAAAATAATTAGTAATATCTGACATAAAGCTTGCAACTTTTAATAAAGACTAAAACACTTACGCCTTGTTCCCGAGTTTTTTCGCAGATTAATTAAAGGAAAGGGAAGGAAAATTTTGACAGAAAGAAAGGAAGGTGAAGGAAAATATTTATTATTCCGTGTTCCCGAGTTCGGAGGAAATGAAAGGAAAATTTTAAGTTTTTTGTTCCCGATTTAGGAGGAAAAAGAAAATAAAACTTGAAATTTTCCTTCTCCTCACTTTCTTCCCAAATCCGTCCAATTTGGGAGGAAAATTTGGAAGGAAAATATGGCTTCAAAATCCTTCCCCTCCCCTCAGTTTCCTTCCATTAATGAAACTCGGGAACCCGGTTTTCCTTCGCCACCCCTCACTTTCCCTCCGTATCCTCCCATTTCTCTCCTTAAGTAGAACTCGGGAACAAGGGGTTAATATGGTAATTGAACAAGAGAGGAATCGTGTAATTTACTCAAATATTGATTTTGCAATCTGTAAACGTGAAAGACAACATAATGGTCGCGCGTCATCACCTGTTACTGTACAGAGCCACAACCACTACACCTGTTAATCCCAATCCGTCACCGTAACCCCTTCATCAACGGTTCAGATTCCACGATCCTCTAGTGAGAGTGTCTGGCGCAGGACACCATCCCCATCTTAATACTAGTTTCTGCCTGAACAACAGCAACAGCAGCAGATCAACGGTGGTGTCGCACGATGGCCGCCGGGAGGGTCCCGAAACCGTTGCCCGATCCCGGGACTATACTCCGCGTCGCCGAGCACTTCCTCCGCCTCCAACATTTCACTCATTGTCGTGAATATGTTCAACATGTTTCCGAAATCGACCCCAATTTTCCTGGTGTCTCCCAAATCCGCACCGTTGTCGACGTTTTACTTGCCTCGAAGAATCCACTCTCGACAGAAGTCCCCCATGACTGGTACGCTGTCATGCAACTCGATCGATTTTCACATGATTCTGATCTCATCGGACGACGATTCAGTCAGCTGTACGGGCTTCTAGATCCTAGCAACAATAAGTTCCCCTTCGCCGATAAAGCTTTCGACCTCGTCTGCGATGCTTGGTATGTCCTGTCAAACCCTGAAAAGAGACTAGAATTTGATGATTCGCTTAAGAGACTGTTGAATGATGAAAAATCCAAGGATACTTCTGTTATCGCGTTTTGGACTGTTTGCCCTTACTGCTATCACGTGTATGAGTTTCCTAGGGTTTATTTGGAGCTTTTTTTGATGTGTCCGAATGAGAAATGTTCGAAAGCGTTTACGTGTGTGGAGATTGATCGGCCTCCGGCCGAGGTTTTGACTCAGGGCAACTACATCTGTGCCGGATTTTCGCCGCTAGGGTTTCGATACTGTAATTGGAATCCCTTCGCGCCTTTGAAGAAACAGGAAACGAAACCTAGTCCTGTAACTGGTAATTTTGTACAAATATCCGATGATGAAGAAGATGAAGCTACTAAAGAGAAAGATGTTAAGGATGAGGCCATGAAGCCGCCTGTGAGAAGGATAAAGATGATGGCCAAGAGAACCAAGAAGGTGACCGGCGTTGGGAACAGGGTGACAAAAGAGGGGTTTGTACATCAAGAAACAAATCCGTCTACCCATTCTCCTGATAACGATGATGATGATGACTGTGAACATAATTTCAGTTTAGGAAATGTTGGGGAAGTGGAATTTCATGATGGTGATGATGACATTCTTGTGAGTCTGCAGAATGGTATCTGAAAGTGATGATATGATCGATGTTCTTGGTTCTTTAATCTCAATTAGGTACACAATCGGTTTCTTTCTTTATGTACAAAGTTAGCTTGACTCGTGTTTTCATCTTTTGTTCATAGTTCTAGGTTTCAGAAAAGATGCTTAAATCAATTTTGTGTTGTGTTCTTGTTATGGGAAAACGATGCAAATATATTATATATCACAAAAGAGTAGTAGAAATGTAGAATCATGTTCTTCCTCTGAACTAGTTGATAGTTTTTTCTGGATTTTCTTGATTTTGATGGTGGATTTCTGTAGAAATTGAAGCTACATGTGAATTTGATTTTTATGAATATTCATGTGCTTAGTTTAATCAGCAATCTTGTTTTCTGATTTCCACACTTTTGAGGTTTAGGGGAAAAGTTGATCCCTTTGAACTTTTACTTTCCATTCAACTTTTACTTTCAAGATAAATTGGTGATTTTTATCTTAAATCTTAAGACCAGGTATGATGAATTTATTGTCATTAATCTCATTAACCTTTCTTTTAGTAGTGGGAATCCATGGCCCAATATGTCTACATATAAAAATTCATTCATAGAAAAAAGATAGAAAAAAGAAGACAAAACTGCACAAATGGTCTCTGTGGTTAGCTGAAAATTGCCACTTTGGTCCAAAAAGGTTTGGACTAGCACCATAGGTCCAAACTTTTCATTTTGTTGCGAATTTGGTCCAATTTGTTTTTAACTTTTTTATAATGATGCTTTTGCCATTACTTTTTGTTTTTTTTCAGTTTTTTTATTTATTTAACTACATTTATTATTAAAAAAATAAAAACAATTAAAATATAACCCCTACCTCTCTCTCTCTCTCAATGCAACAGACCACCACCACTGGTTAACGTCATCGTCACCGGCCACCATAACCGCCGCCCCCGCCGACACTGATTCTTCCTTTGTAAACCTAATCGTCGGATACTTTAGTCGTCGGAAACTTTATCTAGCTTCGATGAACACCACACACATACACAAATCTTTGTCTCTCCAGATGAACACAGACACAGAAATCATGAAATCTAACATACAAGAACACATTAAAAACCTAGAAATCTTATGTACAAGAACACAAACATATGAACATGACTCATTGTACACGCATACTCTGATGCATCTAGAATTGATTAAACACAGATGAGACCAAACACATACATATGTTCAAGATATGATATACAAAACCAAAAATCTAATATACAAGGCCCAACACACAAACTTGATTGACCACACAACACTTGCCGGAGCAACATTATCTTTAATCTATCTGTTGTTTAAAGAAAAAGCAAAAGTTTCCAGATCTTCATGTCATCTACACGTTGCCTGAACTAAGGTTTTTTAGGCTGACAACTATGGTGGTCGTCCGATTTTTCAGATCGGTCTTAGACCCACCCTTGAAAAACTAAAACCCTAGATCGGAGATATTGTGAAGACAATAACGTTTACAGATCTGGATGGAGGCAACGAGATCAAAGATTGGAGCACGGGTTAACAGATAAACGTCGGTGCTGTGAATGTGGTCCCAAATGATGAAGACGATGGTGGTAGCCTCCGTCTGGGTCTCAAGTTTCTAGCAGCACCGGAGTCCAAATCAACCTAATGAACGAAGATAACGATCTTGCTGAACTCTGAAGTTTTTCGCTTGAGTTTCCAGCTTCGCCGCCGCCGCCTTAAGCTTTTAGGGTTAGGTTTTCACTGCCTGATGATTAGGTTTTTGGTGCCGGAGTTTGTAGATCCAGATGCATCCCATCGAGTATGTTTTCCAGCGGTGTTGCGAACCAATTACATCCCATTGAGCATTTTTTCCGGCAAGATAAAGTAAATTGAAAGAGAAGGGTGCAATTTTTCTGGATTTGTCTTGAAGAAGATGAGGTGAGGATGAGACGAGGTGGGAGTTTGATGCATCCTAGTTGGAGAAGGGGAGTAGACAACAATGGTTTACGGTGGTGATTTGTTGTATGGTAGAGTTGATCGGAGCAACCATGTGAAGGGGATGGAGAGTTTATGTTTTCCGCTGAGAAATGAACACAGACCCAAAAAAAAGTATGTCGCGCGTGAGAGAGAGAGAGAGAGAGAGAGAGAGAGAGAGAGAGAGAGAGAGAGAGAGAGAGAGAGAGAGAGAGAGAGAGAGAGAGAGAGGTTTTCATTTTAATTATTTTTTAGTTTCTATAATAAAAGAAAAAAGTAAAATAGAATAATAAAGGGCAAATCCGTCATTATAAAATATTTCAAAAGTTTTGGACTAAAATCACAACAAATTGAAAAGTTTGGACCTGTGGTGCTAGTCCAAACATTTTTGGACCAAAGTGGCAATTTTCAGCTAACCACAGGGACCATTTGTGCAGTTTTGTCAAAAAAGAATTAGAGATTATAATAATTATATTTGTGACTTGCCTTAAAATGTTCAATAAGATACTTGACTTCAGCCAAATTAATTTGATCCTAGAATACAGCAAACAAAGCAGTTAAGAAAAGGGTTATAGGATTATATTTGCGATTTTAATAGCTAAAATAATCGCTTTTGAAAGTTTTTATTGAAACAAAATATCATATGATTTTTTTTTCAAAAATAAAAATAAAATTTGAAGAGTTTATTTATTATTTATTTATTTTTAAATAACCATTTTTTTATAAATTTTATTTTAATCTTATTTTATTATCGTGATATAGTTTTCTATAATCTTATTATATTCTTTGTTGGACGTTTTAAGCAAAATAATCTTATTATAATAATTACACATGTTTGTTCGATCTTACTATTTTCAGTGTCGAATAAAGAGTATTATCTTGGTGTAATCTTGTTATATTCTATTTAGCAAAAATATTATTTTATTGTATAAGTTTAATCCATATAATTTTAGGGTCAATGCTACAAAATCCATTATCACTGCGACATTGTTCTGTTTAATTCTATTTTTTTTTTCTTATGTCATTATATTTTGAAAAATGTTTTAATTTTGGGCCTTTGGTAGGTCACATACTGGTTATGATAACATGTCGGTTAGTTTATGTTATTTAGTCCTACATTTAAGACTTAGTTTATGTTTTTTGCAAAAAAAATTGTTCCATATTTACCATGAATATTTTTTCAATATTAGACATTGGCCGGTAATCGACATGTATTTTAAAACGTAATAACTTAAAATGAAAAAGAAAAAGTTGAAAACAAGAGTCGAAACCGTGACCTCTCATTAAGGGAGTTGTAGGTGTTAGCTTGCCAAGAGTTTTTTTTTTTTTTTTTTTTTTTTTTTTGGTATTACCGTTGTTTGTTGTATTTTAATGTATACATGTGTTTTAAAATGAAGGAAACACACTAGTGCAAGTCTGGAACCCAAAACATCTAATAAACAATATGACATGCTAAACACTGGCCAATCAAAAAATTTAATTAATTTGTAATTCATCAAATAAACATTTGGCTATTTTTAATTATATATTTGTTGAGAAACCAAAATAATTAGATGATAGTATGTATATTTCTTAGGGTTAAATGCAAGAAATAACATGGTACTTTGATAAATATACGTATTATAATAATGGTTAATGTGTTGATTCAAATTATGATGACATGACACATTTACGTTTTAATATATTTATTGTTGACTGATCAATAGCTAAAAAATAAAAAAATATCCAAAAAAATGCCAAATGAGGGCAAAAAAATGTTGGGAAAAAATGCAAACCGAGACGTAAATGTGTGTGGGTGTCAAATTGAAAAACATGGCGGAATTAATATGATTAGGATAGAATATACCTGAATGATGCGTCGGAATGGATTGACTGTCTGGGTTTGATATGTTTATATGAATATATGGATATGTTTGGATAGGGTTCTGCTATTCAGAAATAGACGAGCTATTTCAACAGAAGAAGATTGAGAACAACTCAAATCTTAAACACTCAATTTTAGCTTGTTTATTTCATATGGGCAAAGGCCCTATTTATAGGCTCAAAGGAGCCGAGTACAATAATAGAACTGCAATCGGTTGATTGCAATATGACAAACCTATTTACATTAATTCAAATCGAAAAACATGGCGGAATTAATAAAATTAGGATAGAATATACCTGAATGATGCGTCGGAATGGATTGACTGTCTGGGTTTGATATGTTTATATGAATATATGGATATGTTTGGATAGGGTTCTGCTATTCAGAAATAGACGAGCTATTTCAACAGAAGAAGATTGAGAACAACTCAAATCTTAAACACTCAATTTTAGCTTGTTTCTTCCATATGGGCAAAGACCCTATTTATAGGCTCAAAGGAGCCGAGTACAATAATTGAGTTGCAATCGTTTGATTGCAATATGACAAACCTATTTACATTATAGCCCCCTAGACTATTGAGGGACTTATACTTTATGTTACATCACAATAATACAATAGACATATAATAATTATCCTACCGACACTTTAATTTAATAACAATCCCTTCCACATTGAAAGGACACGTGTTTTCAATAATGTCTTCTTTAATAATGACTTCTTATGTCATTGCTTACGTCATTCCTCCCGCCTCCGAAAAGACATATTTTTGAATAATGTTTGCTTGACGTTAATCTTCCATGAATGGTGCCTCTTTCATAATCGAGTAGGAATGTTTTTAACTGTTTCTCTATGATGGCTTCCATTCTCTTGTCAATGTGTCTGCTATATGATTGTTGGCGCTTTTGATATACTTGAGATATGGATGAAATTGATGTAATTGTAATTGCCACCGGATCAATCGTCCTCGACAGTAATCTTCTTGTAACTTATACCGCCAAAAGCCAAGTAGATACTTGGAATCTGTGCGTAATTCGAATCTGGTTTGAAGTAGCTCGACTTTACATTTTTTCAATGTTCTGAGACATGCTAGTGTTTCTCGTTCATGTGTGCTGTAATTTTGCTCCGTTTGGGAAAATGTTCCCGATATATACTTGCATAGTTTTTGCTCGTATTTATCTGTTTTTAATACTTCAGATGATACATCT